GTCGCGTGTTATTGTGGCCATACGTGTGGTCACGTGGGACTCGATGTGTTAAGCAATTTAAACGCAGCGTTCCACAATTACATTTTCATAGCATATTCGACATTTGCAAGACCTACTGAGAAAAGTTGACAAGTTTTAGACAGCAGCAGGCCAACGTATGAGTTAGTTGTGTGGGCCCATTTTAAGAGATTTTTGAGATGCACAGTCGTCGAGGGGAGTGTGCGGTACGGTCTTTCGTCGCCGAATGATAAATTCCTGTCACGGCTGCAAGCCCTTCTCTCGCTGCTCCTCCTCGCCCCACACTGCCCTGGGCTACATTGTCGCCCCCGCCCACTGTGCTATGACCGCAAACCCTGGCCAAAAGTTGCTTGTCCACCAACATTCCTCCGCCCGAGCCCGAGGACCGCCCAACATTTGCCGAGTGGAAGAGGGACTACTTGACCTCCACGTCGCAGGAAACTGACGACCGGCACACTGAGTGCAAAGCGTTACTGTTACAGCATGGAAGCAGAGCAATACAAAAACAATATGCATTATGTTACTTCAACATAACAGGCCACTAAAAGCGTTGAGTTTTATTTAAACACGGCGAAACTAAATCATTAGAAGAGTAAACCAACTTGATTCAGGGCGAGGGACAGAAAAGTGGGGCTGCACACACATTCCTCACATCACAACTCCTTTTCGTTTATCATAGCAACCAACCACGCAGTGGAGCGCGAAGATTGCGAAGCGTTACGAAGAGACAGAACGGGAAAGAAGCGATCACGTGACCTTGTCATCGGCGTGAGAAGCATTTTCTCCGGCACTCTATTTTGTCCCGTTCAGCCGGGTAGTAAAGAGGTCAGGGGAAAGTAAATATGGCACAATATACACAATAATAGGAGACGGCAAAGCTTCCACTGCATTCCGAAAGCTGAAGAGTCGGTGCACGTGCCTGCCTGTGCTGATGCCCCTACCCTCCTCACCCCAACGGATCTCTCCCCCCCACCGAACCTCTTCGGAATCAAAACTTAGCTTATTGCTCTCGAAATACTTGTAAGGCTTGTTATGAGGCTTTGCATTATCACAGGAGTTTGCCCACTTCCTCCCTAGCCCACCCCTCTTAGGGCACCGATAAAACGCCGCAGTATGACACCCGAAGGACACCATCCGGACACCGGCAGGCCAACGCACTGCCAGTCGCCAGTACGCAGCGAGGACAAAAACACCACGAGACCTGCGTGAGGACATCACCAGGACACCGCCAGGACACCACCACGACATAACAATTTATCCCCCGCCTTCACTGCTTTGCTTGCAAACGGCCGCCCAGGGGCCAATGCACGCAATCCCAATACGGGGGGAGGAGGCGGCGAGAGGCCCATAGCAGTGCAACAAGGACAAGCATCCCCCAGGACCTCGATAACAACTTGTGCGTGGCGGAGCGTGGCGGGGCTATCGGTTACATGCAAAGTATGAGGTCGTCACGAGGAGGGTGGGGAAAAGAGAATTGGCAGAGCGAGTGAGACGCTGATCTGATTTCAGACCAAAAACAAGGAGATCCCAGGGACCTGTCTGTCGTACAAAATGATGATTGAGGTTAAATGCGTCTCAATTATCACCTTTGGTGTTCAGGTGTTTAAAACACTATTGTGGAGGTACTGGATAAACAACAAAACGGACGGACTGGGCGACGCGCTCCGTAAAAGCCCGCCGAGTGGCTTGCCTTCAACACTGAAGAATTTCGTCGTAAATTTACAAAATTTTTGTGGACTCGAACTAATTTAAGTGGTAAATTTACGACAGCACATACTCCCCAATGCATTTTAAGTCGATACGTACTGCATGTATTTTTACGAAAACCAATTTGTAAATTTTACAACTTGCTTGTAGGAAATTTTTCTGTAACCACCTGCGCTGGTCCTCCCTGCAGGGTCAGACCATGATCCCGTTCAAGACTTTGTTTGGCGCCAGTGACCCAGTGACCAACCCCGAGCCTCCCAATCTATCTACCCATCTCCCCGTTCATCTATTATCCTCGCCAAGCTCCAAAGCGCTGCTAAAGTCCGCCTTCGTCGCTGATGTGGCCGCAGTTATAAAAAGAGCTGTAAAACAACTGGAGCGGAGACAGTAAAGGCTCCTCCCTCCTCCCCTCTGGTCCAGAGACCTGTGCCCTGTGCTCTACTCTCATCGCAACCCCCTTCTCCCGCTCCTCTCTCCTACCCCGATCTCTCCCCTCATCATCATACACAAAATCCCCCCCCCTGCCACCCTCCCATACACATACACACTCACACACGGGATAACCGACAAACAGGGGGAGAGAGAAGAACAAGACAGAGGGCTGGGAGAGTGAGGGCGAGAGAGATATAAAATAAAGCTGGTCCGAGCTGGCCGCGAGGAGACTACTGGAACTGAGGAAAAGCATGCGCCCATGTTGCATATTTCGAACCTAAAAAAACATGTCCTGCGGTTGTACTCACATCATGTCGCCAGCCGACACGGTGTATCCTCGGGTTGGCTTTGATGTGGCACTCGAAGAAGACGTCAACGCCCTCTGTAAGTGCGCTGGCGTTGAGAGGGCGACCAAGTTGCAGCGTGACTTTTGGTGTATCTGTAAGAGTAGGGGAAGTAGCATGAGACGAAGAAACAGTTCAGAATTTAAAAGCACCTGAAGACAGCGGGACCGGCCAAAAACGTCGCAAATCCAACGAATTTGGCCGGTGCAATGGCGCTTCATATTGCGGTCTAGATCTAGTGTCGTATTCAACTACATATTGTATTCACACATCACAGCTTAGGGGTCGTCCACATATTACGTCACGCTATTTTTGGCAGTTTTTGACCCCCCCTCCCCCACGTCACGCTTTTGCTACTTACGGTAAATATCAAGCGTCCAGCTGTCGACGAGGGCCGAGTTGGGTAGGCGGGGATTCTCTGCGCGGCAGCTTAGCACCAGCCCAGAGTCGTTCACGGAGGGCGTGAAGTGCAGCGTGCTGATGGTCGAGTTCTGGTCCTGCGACGTCTGCGGCAAAAAAAGGAGAGCGTCCCAATTAATACCTTCCACCACGACGAAACCGGCATTCCGCCCCGCCCCGCCTGTTGCGCGGTCCAACCCACCGCGCCATAAAACACGACGCCACGCGCGAGCCGCGGGCGCGCTCACGTGACAAGATTATTACTCCACGCCGCTAAACGCCGCAACGAGGGTTGGGCTGGCAAAAACCTTGTAACCTCGCTAAGTCGAGTTTCTTCTGAGGAAACAAGTAAATAAACGGGGAAATACTTTTGCTCTTGCTTTTTGAAGGCAAGAAATTCCATCAACGCCTTAGAGTAACTAGGTGAGTACGAATCTTTGTAAAGATGCAAATGCGTATCTGCCTCCAACACAATATATAATTCATTTCTCGATATGCTGCGTCTTCTGTAGATGGCTTCGCGATCCGCAAAACTGCGATGCGCCTCGTGTACCTATTCCTGCTGCACTGCCAAGCCAATAAGCCCAAGCTAAAGTTTTGCTAAGAATTATTAAAGTTTTTGAAGTTGCCACTATTTGTTCTAGTTGGTTGCTTCAAAGTAGTTTTCCTACGACCACTTCCAAGTGGTCCCTCCTATTCCTCTGCACTCAAAATAATGTGTCAGCGTTCCAGTAGCAGGTGTCACTGCACCAACAAAATTGTCCTTGGAATGGCTTCTGGAACATGGGCTGCTAGTCAAACGACATCATATCCTGGCCCAGCGGCATTCGTCGGTGGCACAACTACTGGCAGTCACAAGTCACAAGGTTAGTAATAAGGTGTCCGTGAAACAACTACCCGGATACAAGAACAAGGCGGTCGTTAGCACAATTTTTCTTTAGTTCATTGTGTGCCCCGCTCAGGTGTTTTCTGGGAGGCGGAAGCGGCGGACACGCCAGAGGTTCCGCCCGGCCGGCGGACAGCGTCCGCCCGATAGCCAGCCTCCCCGCAGCAAACAATCATCGAGTTGACTGTTCCATAATTAATCTCGATGAGGTCAAAGGGCAGGGCCCGCCGGGCAACTTCGGCGCCTTCACTCCCTTCTCCTCTGCGATTTGTTTTTCCAATTTGCAGCCAACGTTTTGCTATCAAAATGTTGAGGTCGGTAGCCACGGCAGGTTGGCTGGCCTGGTCAGGCCTCTGTACTGTAAGTCGGGCTCGCAGCTGTGCGTCATAAACTTACGGTAGTCGTTGTCGTGCTACCGAACCGGGCCGTCCGGGGCAGAGGGGAGGGGAGCACGACACTCTTGGAGGACCCCATCCTGCCCTCTTTGGCCGCTTGCATTTAGTGCCACGGCGAGAGAGGCTGAGTGACACGGCAGAGTGAGGAGGGATGGGGGCGGTACGAAGGACGCAGACGAAGGGTGGACGAGGAGGAAGGAGACAAGGAAAGGATAGGGGGACAGGAAAGTCAGAGCAAGAGAGAGGCCTGGAGAGGGGAGAGAAAAGGGGGGGGGGGGGGGCAGCGGGGACGCAGCAAAGGGATGAAGGGTTGGATCGTTGGCCAGGGTGGAAGCTGGAGGGCATGCTTTAGCATAATTGAGGGCGCTGTGAAATACGCAGGCGGATGACGCCTAAAGGACGCGCGGGAGGTTTGTAGCCGTGAGATGAGCGGAGACTGGTGGCGGCCTGCAACCCCCAGTGCAATGCGCGCGCGTACGTGTGCGTGCGTGTGTGCGTGCGTGTGTGCTTGGGCAACCTGCTGGAGCCAGACAAGAGCAGACACAGACTGACGAAGTGAGAGGTGAGCTTATTTTCCTGGAGCCGGCGAGCTGCACTCGGAGGAGTCGGTTGCTTTAATCCTGATTGATCGCTGGATTTCGACATCCGGACGAGCCGATAACGGCGCACGCCAGCCGCTACCGGCCGTGCAGCTTAATGGCACATAATGTGGGAGTTAGAGCCGCGCCGGGCCTCGGCAGGTTTACACACGGGGATAAAAGGGGGCGACGTGCGGCGCTCGGGCTTGACGGGGGCCAGCGCTGGGGTGGCGCAGGCTGGAAAGTAGAGAGATACCTCTTCGCTAGAAATTAACGGGCGAAGTAGGGAGCGGGGTGAAGGAGAGGGCCGGTGGAGGTTTGAGGGAAGACAGAAGGCGAGACGAGGGTGCAAAGTGAGAGAAGGCGGAACCACTGGAAAAGTAGTCAGTAGTCACCGGAAAGAGTGAGAAGACCAATCGCACTCTAGTCTATACAACGGTGCATGTAAGTCGATGTAAGTAGTTGTAAATTGCCGTGTGTTAAAACATCTTGTATGGTTTAACCTTTTGAAAGTCATCATGATGCGTGCTCACCTACATCTGGCCCAAATTACAACTCGTACGTGATGAAATCTGTCAATATACTCAAAGTTCAAAATTGCCTCTTGCAGTGAACAAAAGGAGTACCTTGTGTTAATTAGAGTGTATGGTCTGATTTTCAGGGGCACCTGTTTTCTATAGTTAAAAAGAGATGCAGCGCAAAAGAGATAAAAATGAAAAAAACATGAATCGAAAAGAGAAATAGTAATAAAAAGCAGCAAAGGAGTGGACAATTGTCCTCTTAAGAAATAGAAAATGACGGGATCGGCTCTACCGACTCAGTGGTTTGTTCCTATCATTTAATTTGGGAGCGGCTAGGAAATAAATGTGCTACCTGGTGTGACTGCTCCGAGGATCATCCTGCTAGTGGAGCAGAGTAGTGGTGTCCTGCAATAGAGCCGCTGGAGAGTTGGGACTCTATAGAGTAAGAAATCTTTCCCACGCGAATTAATTACGTAAAAGGCTGGTAGATGTTACCCCCGAAAGACAAAGGGCTCCAGATGACCCCTTACTCGTTCGCGACGTACGCCACTCGAGAACAGGGGGCTTACTGTTCCATTTGGCATTTTAGCATAGGAAATAAATGAACAGGTTGTGTTCTCAAACCAGGCCCCATTCGTTGCGTTTCCTAATACCCATAGAGCAGGTTTGGTTTGAGTAAGGCCTCGAAGAAGGCTTTGTCACTTTATGTGCGTGCATATTCCTTTAAACGCACTGTGTGTGTCCTGGAGCTCACAGTAGGGACGTATGTGCCCGCTTTTGGCTCAGCACTCAGCTTGTTAATCCCTGCCGCTGCTCGCTGCCGCCCTAGAAGCCGCCTCGGACGGCCGGTTCACCGTCCCCCAATGGTGCCAGACGGGGCCGACCATCGAGTGGCCCACCTCTTGTTCTGGGCCGACGGAGCGGCGCAGAGCCTAACGAGCTTTGTTCTCCAAGTGAAGACCCGAGTCTGATGGCTGCTACGCCGCGCCTAGCGGGCCGTCCGGCCTCGTCGGCTCCTCATCCTTTCGTTCATCCGCTTCTCCTGGTTACTCGCCATCTTTATTCTCCACGCTTCTGCTGCTGCTACTGCTGCTTTTCCCTCCCAGATTGATTATTGATTTATTCAGAGGTCGATAGGCAGGCAGAGAGCTCAGGCCGCACGCTGCCGCTGCACCTTATTCTTCTTTCCATGAATTCCAAATTGGGGGAGGGCAAAGGCGGTGCGAGTCTTGCCGCACGCCGTGAAGAATGGCCCGGCCTCTGTGACTGTTGCCCTCTCCGCGCGCGGTGGAGCGCGGCGCAGCACCGTACGCCGTACGCGCGTGAGCGCCGTGGGCCCGAGAGCAGCGGAGGGCGCGACCTCTGCCCTCCACCAGAGTCATGGGGCGTGAATGAAAGTTGTGAGAGTACGCCATGATCAGAATTATATCCTTCACTAGCAACCTTAAATATTTCACTTGCGACGGGCGAGAACACTAGACTGTTTTTCACCAATTAAAACAAAGACCGAACAATGTGTCAACGATACATCCCCTGAATTAGGTAATCTAAGTGGAAGGCTAGGACAGCTTTCTAGAAAGCTAGCTAGTAGTGCAGCACAAAAACATGATTCAGTTGTTTGTTGAGTTCTAGGCAAAACTGCAAATGAACGCGGAATTTCTTGAACCTAGTCGCACGTGGGTATAAAACCATAGCAGTCTTTGTCGTGCCATCGACAAATAAATCAAAACTGAATACTGGCATCAAAATAAACATGCTTTACCGAGTCTTTAGGGCAGTATGACGAAATTTACTTTGCCGACAACGAGGCTCTGTACCTCAGGACGGCGAGTCGGAGGGCTTTGCCACTGCTGCAATTGACAGATTGACTGGTGTCGACCCCAACTCCGTCCAGGTGACCGCCGCCGGGAAGGAAGGTTAGGGGAGAGGAGGGGAGAGGATAATCCGACGGCCCGGACAGGCCGGGGAGTAGGAGGAGAGGGGCGGAACACGGGTGCTGGCAGAGTGATCCATGATGCCCTATTCGTCTCCGCCCGGCGCGCGCCACACAAGCCAATGGCAATGCCACCCATTGGTAGACCGTTAAGAAATGAAATCCCTCAGGCTTGCTGAGATTAGAGTGAGAACACTTGCGGAAGAGTTAAAAATCTTGTTTGTTACAATGCTCGAAGCACGTTACGAAGAGAAGTCGTTGCTCGTCAGAAACTAACAGTGGATATTATAGACAGATCAGATGTGAGACATCCCGAGACAACCTTTTTCGGCTTAAATCCGTGTGAATTGAAGATACAAATCCAGTAAGTGTGTAGCAATTTCCTTTCTTAAATGCTACCCTCCTCTCCGATCTTCCCCCTCCTACCGTCGCCTCCCACAAACCAGCCTATACGAACCCACAGTGCAGACGTACTCACCCTGCCACACATGCACAAACCCCTTCTCTAACACACACACACACACACTTCCTAACTGGGGTCGCATCCGGGGCGCCTTATCCGATTATTCGATTAGCAGCGCAGCACACTAGGGCACCGAGTGTTTTCGGACGTCGAGGCATTAACCTGTCAGCATCCCTTACAGCATCCTCTCGTCAGCAGCGGCCCAGCGGCCCGAAGCTGAGCTACCGCCATTAACACTCGGCTAGCGCAGCTCGATAGTGGCGTCGGATATAGGCAAACGGAGAGAGGTGGGATCGCCGTTTTGTTCCGTGAGCAATTTAGTAAATTTGTT